CTTCCTTGAAAGAAAAGATATCCTTAAAGATTTATTTGTCACAAAATGCAAAGGAAGAATATCGATAACCACAAATACATGGACTTATGTGCAAAATGCAAACTATACGTGTGTGACTGCTCATTATGTTGGTAAAGATTGGAAGTTGGTTATAAGGTCATATGCTTTGTTGAGGTGACTAGTCATACTTGATTTGATATAGCAGAGACATTGTGTACTTGTCTAGATGGGTGGAAGATCAAGAATTTGTGTTGCATCACAATGGATAACGCTAGTGTGAATGATGTTGTGGCCGATTACATGATAGATAAGATGCATGAGTGGGGGACGAATTTGTTGGATGGGAGGTACTAGCATTTCCGCTGTGTTGCTCACATCATCAATTTAGTTGTCACTGATGGCTTGAAAGAAGTAGGGATTTCTATTAAAAGGGTTCGAGATGTAGTGAAGTGGATCAAGTCATCTCCATTAAGGCTTACTAGATTCAAGGTTGATGTTGCTTATATTGGTATTGAGACGAAGAAGCTTGTGTCTTTGGATGTTCACACAAGGTTGAACTTCACCTTTGATGTTAGAGTACGCAGAATGATTTGAAAAATATTTACTTCTTATATTTACAAGTTGAGAGCTTCTTATATTTACAAGCTCTCATCTTGAGAAGTACGTTGATGCGAAGAGGGGTGTGCCAATCAAAGAAGATTGGAGACGTGTGAGAAGGCTGGTGAAATATTTTAAGATTTTTGTGATATGACTGCGCGTGTATATGGTATGTTAGTCTAAATCTTTAAACTATAAGTTCTTTCTTGTTACTTCAATTTAGATTATATATACCAACTATTAACTAATATCTATTCTCCTGAATTCTTTTGTTTTCAAGAACATCATATGTGACTATGCATTTATTCTTCAAATATCTTGCAGATATTTATGAGGTCATGAACACATTGGAGCAGGATGAAGATGTCGAGATACGACGCATGGCAGTGAGGATTAAGCCTTAAGGCGAAGGTCGCAAAGCATTGGTATGGGGCAGATAATGAGGCGAATATAAGGATGAACCGTGTAATCTACATATCATGTGTGTTAGATTCGAGGCGCAAGTTGGCCTATGTTGAATTTGTCTTGGTGCAGATGTATGGCAAAAATAATGGGGAGGCAATCGCTAAGGATATTAAAGAAGAGATGGGTAAGTTGTTTGAATATTGCAAGATCAAGCTCCCGCCTCCACCCTCAAGTGAGGCTGCTGTTGAGACTAATACGGGTGTAGGAGCTAGAGTTACGTGTGCCACCAGTGACAGTTCGAGTAGTGGTGTGGTGATGGGAGGGAAGATGACTTCTGAGTTCAAGAGGAATAGGAAAGAAGAGCTTGATGCATGTATTTGAAGTTCTTTAGAGTTGGACATCTATCTGAACGATGTAAATGATGTTGTTCTTTTCGATGACGAAGATGATAGCTTTGACATCCTTAAATGGTGGTTCGTCAATAGCATTAGAGATCCCCGTGCTTTCTGAAATGGTGCAGGATATTTTGGCTATTCCAATTTCTTATGTTGCCTCTGAGACTACTTTCAACATAGGAGGTCAGGTGCTATCTTCATTTAGGTCCTCCTTGACCCCGAAGATGGTGAAGGCATTAATCTGTGCAGAATATTGGATACGGTTCCCCAATTCCCAATTGGTTCATGATGAAGTGCATCTCAAAGAGCTAATTGAGTTTGAAGTTATAATTTATCACTTCGACCTTCTCTATATGCTCTAGTTTCCATATTTGACAAATTTGCCTATCTTAGTTTTCCTTCTCATTATGACAAACTTTTCATGTAGTTTATGATGCTTTACAATCTCGAATGGGTAGTCAAAGTGGGAGTGATCTTGATGGTATAAGCCGAAGTCTTCCTGTTGATCCTACTCCTACCCCCACAGTTCATGCTGACGGACTTGATGGTTTTGATTATGATTCTGATGTTAATCCTTATGACGAGAATGAAGATCTTAGAGTAAATGGTGACTATGGGCTCTAGATTTGGAGCGATATCCTCTAATGTAGGTTGATAATTTTGAGTTATGAACTTGTATTTGTGGTTGGTTATGTATGTTGGAGTGCTTGGTTTAGACTTTATATTCAAGTGTTTGGTTTTAGACTTTAAGAGTTAAGATGATATATATTTGTGTAAGTAAAATTGTGTATTTGTGTTATTGTGATTTGTGAGACATCAAAATTGGCAGGAGGCAGCGGCTGAAATAGTCTTTTTGCATAAACAGGCCACTCAAAATCGGATTGAAATAGTTAACATGTCACCCAAGTTCGGTTTCGGGGTCGGTTTTGGACTAAAAATCGAGTAATTGAGCCAGACCTGCAGTTTTGGATAAACGCAACCGCCACCGTAAACCAAAACCCCGTGGTTGCGGTTAGCGGATAACTGAAGGTTCTGTCGGTTTTGGTTTTGGTTGCCGGTGCAAGCGAGTGGTGCCATGTTCATCCTCCGACATAGCTTTCTGTTTTCCATGCCATGCTTTCTGGTACCTGATGGTATATCCATGTTGATTCTTTACTTCAACGATAACACTCTTCACGGTGATATCAGGTTGTGCCTCAATAAGATTTTTGATTGTTTCTGCAACTTTTCTTGCACTCAACTGTCAGTGATCCAGAGAAATTAGTGATGACCTACACGTGTGGTTGTAGTATGTCTTACGAATGAGCTAAGCCCCATTTCTTTTTAACATATGCCTCCTGAATATGCCACATGTATCCGTCGCAATGGTTCTCGCAGCGGACATGAATTTGTTTAGTGTCAAAAGTGACAACACGATATTGAAGCTCCCTCGAATTGCAGTTCTTTCAATGCATCGACCACCTGAGGCTTTCCTCCAAATGTTTGACCAACCACGAACCCTGAATTAGGAGTCCAGATGGGTATATGAGGGAGGTTAGGATCGTCTTGTTAGCATAGAGAGAATGTTGTGGCACCACCGTGTAGTGAGGTGTGGGGGGCTCAAATTCCACCTCCTCAACTTCCACATCTTCACCATCTGAACTAGTCACTAAATCTAAATCATCCTCTTCCACATCGGTTGCCTCGCTAGTGTATGAAGAACTTGGTTTATTCACATATGGATCATTGTTGACGTCGGATGCTTGTGTGGGTGCTCTTATGTTATCCCATTCTTCACCCATACTGGCCACTCCTGACCATGGATTATCATCCGGACCTTCGAAATCTCCTAATTCGTAAACTCCACCCTAACCTTCAATGTGTTTGGTATAACCTCCACCACCATAGTGGCCAACCTCTTCCGTTTCGACATACACCTCAACAATTGGAAATTTGTTTTCTGCAATAAATCTCAGCATCATATTAATGTCATCATCGTCAGACAGAATTGATCCTTCATATACAAGTGCATATCTGTTGTAAATCGGCATATGGTAAGTTATGTTGCATACTCTTCGACCCCCTATGCAATACCGATCCCCTATGAAATACCGATCGACACAAATGTGGAAAAGTCCTACCAAGTAAATATGCTCTCAATCCGGACAGTACTTGATTCATCATCTTCGTAGCCAATACTGTTTTGAAAATTTGTAATTCAACCATTCCACCAAATCAATAGGTCAAATTTATGAAATTTTCTACCCATTTCTGCAGTTTACAGTAGCATAAATTACATACAGTTCAAACAATACTAAATATAAGGGTAAATACAATTTGATATCCAAACCTTTCATTTTAAACAATATAATAGCCAAACCTTTTCGAAAACAATCTAATATCCAAATCGTCAACTTTCTGTCCGTTTGACCGTTAGTTGACACTTCATGTCAACTGACATCGCTAGGTATCTCCCTTCGGATAATGTCGCCACCTAGTCCCTCTTCTTCTTTGTCTAAATATCTGGTCCCATTGCACAAAGTCTTCACCAACGTAAACAAAGCTTATTTTTCTAAATATCTATTTTATTTATTTTATTTTTCTCTCCCTTTTATCACTTTCCATCGGTCTCCTTTCATATATTTTGGCCAATCCCTTTTTTTTATTTTATCTTGTTTATACAAACAAGATGATAAAACTCTACAAAGCTTACAAAATATACAAACCAGATTTACAAACAATACAAACTAGACTTACAAACTCTACAAATCAGACTTACAAACAATACAAAACATAAGAACTAGACAAACAATACAAACTAGACCTACAAACAATACAAAATGGTAAAACAACCAGGTTCACTTTGGTGGCTTCGTCCCTATATAGAGGAGTTACGGATCAAAAGTCAACCATGTTGCTTTTAGACATACAAACATTACAAACATGGTGGACAAAAATGACAAACCATACATCGTACATTTACAAAGAATACATAATGGAAAAACAATCAAATTGACTTTAGAGGCCCCATCCCTATATAGAGGAGTTTCGTCCCAAAGTCAACTAGGTTGTTTTTCAGTCATATAAACATTACTAACATGGTAGAGAAAAATGACAAAGCTTACAAACTTTGCAAAAGGAACCAACAAACATTACCAACCTTCCAGAACCAATAAATACAAACTATACAAACCATAACATAAAGTATGCAAACTAGACAAATTAATATTACAAATTACTTATATAAAAACTACAAATTTGACATACAAAAATGACAAACTAAAATGATAAATGTTATAAACCGAATCGATATATATTACAAACCAAACTTAGACAATAATACAAAGTGTACAAGCCAAATCATAAAAGTATACAAAGCATACTAACCTTACAAAATACAACTACTATCAATACAAACCGACATGACTTACATTATAAACAAAGCGTATACATATTAATATTACAAAGTTACAAATCACACCATAAAAATTTACCAACACTACTAACTATACACATCAGTAATAGAAAGTATACTAATGAAATAAAAAAGTATACAAATCATATTGATATTATATACAAAGATACGAACAATATAAACTGACAAGTCTTGCATTATAAAACATCGCTTTCTCTATCTACGGTCAACAATAAATTTGTTGTTGCCATGAACCTTGTTGGCGGCTCTCTCACTCTCTCTCTCTCTCTGTGGGAAGTCTCACATGTGGCAAATGACATGGCGCCAACAAGGTGACAACATGGCGGCTGTACATGTGGTGTGTATGGAAGACTAGTAGCATAGAGATGCTTCTAAGATTCTCCACCTAAATGAGAGCTTAATGGTGCACTTATTAGTCACATAATGGGTGACATATATAGAGTGCATAATGGGGGGGGGGGACTTATAGGGTGTAGTAATGGAGAGGGACATTATGAGGGGCATTGATGCCTTGTATGAGGAGAGACCTATATAAGGAGTCATCTCCCTCACTTGTAACTCATTCCACATTTTTTAGAGCAATGCACACTAGAGAGTTCTCCCACTTCTTTGTCTTGTTTCCTTGCTTCTTTGCTTGCTTGTGAGTTTGATAGAAGGCTGCCTAGCGCTCTAACGGAATTGAGAGCTAGTGTCGCACGATCGAGAGTAAGGCCGTGACAAGTGGTATCAGAGCCTGGTTTGGCTCGGTGCTAGCAAAGTAGAAGCAATAGCAGACGAAAAGGAAGAGCCTCACCAATAATGTCAAGATCAGAAGACGTTACTGATGCTGAGAAGGAAGCCAAACGTGGAAGAGATACCACCAAGGGCTCGCGGCCAAAAGGCATGTCGAGCACTCGTGATCCTTTCATGTCTCTAGAGAGGCGAGTCTCTAGAATGGAGGTGAAGCTTTCCGAAGATGTCACCGCCATGAAGGATTTGGGAGTTAACTTCGCCCAAGTCCAAAGCGATGTTCAAGGAATGGCTGGTCGGTTGACGAGATTGGAAATCAACCATGAAGGGCTTCGAGAAGAGCTCATGGCCCTCATCAAAGACACCATCTCCACATCCATGAGAACCGCAATTGAAGTTGTGAAAGAGCATGTCCAGGCTGAGCTGGGCGGCGTGAAGGAGGAGATTGCAGACCTCAAGAGTGAGGTCACTCTCGTGAAGAGGGCCATGGCTAGCGAACCAGTCCCGGTGCAATCCGTCCCACGTGCTGACGTTCCAAGACCAAAGAACTTCGGAGGTTCAAGGAACGCGAGGGAGTTAGAGAACTTCCTTTGGAGTCTTGAGCAGTATTTCAAGGCATCCGACATCCAAGAGGATGAGGTAAAACTCTGTACCGCTCCACTTTACTTGGTCGATGTTGCTATGGTGTGGTGGAGGCGACATGAAGCAAGCGTCGAAAGAGGTACATGTGTGATGGTAACGTGGGGAGATTTCAAGAGAGAAATCAAGAAGCAGTTCTATCCAGAGATTATGGAGTTCGAAGCCCGTTCGAGGTTGAGAAGACTCACCGAGAGGGGTGGAGTTCGAGAATATGTGAAAGAATTCTCGGAGCTGCTTCTAGAGATCCCGGACAACAAGGACAAGGAGCTGATAACACTAAATTTGCACATGTTTTTACCCCTCATTTCTTGATTGTTTAGCTTGTTTATTATCATAATTTGGCCTATTTTACGCTAGGTTGTGTTCCTTTGTCACATTTCAGGTTCTAGCATGTAAAATGAAGCATAGGCGCAAGTTTCAAGTCAACCGGAGATAAATTGGCGACTCGGGGGGAGAAACTTGGGTGTGACCCAAGGAAGAATGGATTTCTACCTCATTTAATGGACAAATATTCATGTAATCTAGGCATATAAAGAAATAGGACGAGACTACGAGCATCTGGGATCAAACGACGACTGATTCAGAGTTCGGATGAGGGAGATATCACCGAAAGACATCAGCCTCTCCTAAGTTACTGGCTGACCTTCCAAGTTACGACCATGACCGTAACTTGGCCATTTTGGTCGTAACTCGGGGCCACGGGAGGCGGAATACATTCCCTAAGTTATGGGCTTAACCCAAAAGGTTACGGCTGTAACTTGGAGCCGTAACTTGACTTCTGTGAGCTGTATAAATGCATTTTTGCGGATTCTGAAGTGGGAGAGCTGGGTTTTGGATCCCAAACACCCAAGCGACGAACCCTAGAGAGAGAGAGAGCACCTTGGGAATATTCTTGGAGCTATTTTGGAGGATTTCTTCACCATTAGAGCTCGGGAAACAAGCTTGGAGATGGAGATTGAAGATATAGATTAGATTTCTGCATTCTTTCTCTTCTCTATGGAGTAACTTCCCTTCACTTAGGTTTTGAGGAACCCTAGCTATGTTTGTTTGATTGGATGATTGTATGAGTACTCTTACTTGATAATCTTGATTTCATATTCAATTTATGCATGTTTTCATGATTCAATTCTGCTTTAGTCGAGATTATTGATTCTGCTTTAATCCTATGAGAGCGAATAACTAATTAGGTCAATAAAGCACCATAGATTGATAGTATAGGATCGACTTATTTAGTCGAGGTTTGATTCACTACTTTGTATCTATTGAGAACCTATTTCGATTGAGGGAGTCTAGTTCTGAACGCCTTGATCGGTTGTTCTAGAGAAGGATACGTCCCTCTAGGCAATTGTCTCAAGAGGGCCTTGATCCTTTAGTCGAGACTCAAGGTCTAGTCAAGGATTCTATGCATTGTGAATGAAAGTGAAACAAGTTATAGATCATCAATCATTAATCTGGCTAATGGCTAGGGGGAATCATACCTAAGTGAGTTCCCAACTTGTAATTAGTAGTTTTACCTAGTTTAGATTGTAGAGTAGTTTAGTTAATCAAACCTTAATTTGATTTGCTAGATAATGAACTGAAGTTGAATAATAGTACATCTAGAGACCCAAGGATTCGATATTTATTACTTGCACCACTATACTGCTGTCCCTTTCATTGGTTACACTTGGCCATTGTTAGGAGTTGTGTTGTAGCGTGCCAGGAGGCCATGCACGGCTTTCTTGATGGGCTGCAACCATGGGCCAAGATGGAGATGCAACGTCGAGGAGTGTAAGACCTTGCAACTGCCATGGCCACGACGGAGTCTTCTGTTGAGTACAAAAGGCATGAGCGCAGCACCAAGGAGAAGAGTTCAAATCCTAACAAGGGCGGAGAACAGCAGAAGCCTTTCAAGGAGGGCACTCACGCTCAACAACAACAAGGTGGTTCAAGCAAAGGGGGTAAGTACGAACCAAAATCCATGTCTTGTTTCCTTTGCGATGGACCACATCAAGTGCGAGATTACCCAAGGAAGGCGAGATTGGAAGCCATGGAAGCTCAAGATGAGGAGCCCAAGGCAGCAGAGGCCAAGATTGGCTCAATTCGCAAGCTTGGCGCGGTGAAGACCGACGTCAAGGAGAGCAAGCGTGGGAGGTGTTATGTTCTGGCTCAATTCATGCAAAGTGAATCGAAAGCCATGGTGGATACCGGTGCCACGCACAACTTCATTCGCATCGAGGAGGCAGACCGGTTGGGTATTGCCTATGAGAAGGGGCAAGGGGGCTCAAGACGATCAACTCGGAGTCCATCCCGATCCATGGAGTTGCGCACAACGTGCCAGTGAAGCTTGGCGAGTGGGAAGGCCTCATCGACTTTTCCTTCGTCACCATGGACGATCACCCAGTCATCCTCGGCATCAACTTCCTCGGCAAGGAGGGAGTGCTCTTGAAGCCTAACTCCAACACGATGTGCTTGGAGAGAGAAGGAGAGTTCCATGCGGTCTATCTCTTGAGAGGAGATGGCCCTCATAGTGCTCTATCCGCTATGCATGTATTGAAGGGGTTCAAGAAGAATGAACCTACCTTTCTTGTTTCCTTGAAGATGGAGGAAGAAGGAGGCTCAACGGGAATCACAGCTCCCATCATCGAAGGCGTGCTTGACAAATTCGACGATGTGATGCCATCGGAGTTGCCCAAGAAGCTGCCACCAAGAAGAGAGGTGGACCACAAGATCGAGTTAGAGCCAGGAACGAAGCCCCCTTCGCGAGCACCATACCGCATGGCCCTACCAGAATTAGAAAAGTTGTTGAGGCAGCTCAAGGACTTGTTGGACGCAGGCTATATGCGGCCATCAAAGTCACTTTTTGGAGCACCGGTGCTGTTCCAAAAGTAAAATAAAGGGTCGTTGCGCATGTGCATCGACTATAGAGCCATCAACAAGTTGACGGTGAAAAACAAGTGGCTGATTCCCAACATTGTCGACTTGTTCGACCAGCTTGGAGATGCGATGTGGTTCACCAAGCTTGATCTTCGCTCGGACTACTATCAAGTGCGGATAGCAGAGGGAGACGAGCCAAAGACAGCTTGTGTGACGAGGTATGGCTCTTATGAGTTTCTTGTGATGCCATTCGATCTCACCAACGCACCAGCCACGTTTTTCACTTTGATGAATCAAGTATTCGAGCAATTCTTGGACCGCTTTGTCGTGGTCGACTTGGATGACATCGTAGTGTATAGCAAAACACTCGATGAGCATGCCGAGCACCTACGTCAAGTCTTCCAAGTCCTTCGCGACAATGAGTTGTATGTCAAGAGAGAGAAGTGCACATTTGCCGCCACGGAGGTTCCTTTCTTGGGGCACATCATTGGTGGAGGCAAGTTGAAGATAGATGGGGCGAAGGTGGAGGCAATCCAAGAATGGGAGCTGCCTACGAAGGTGTCAGAGTTGCGGTCATTCCTCGGCCTTGCAAATTACCATCGAAGGTTCATCAAGGACTACTCCAACATTGCAGCACCCTTGACGGATCTTTTTGAAGAAGAACAAGGCTTGGGACTGGTCGAAAAGGTGCCAAGAAGCATTCGAGGCCTTGAAGGCAGCGGTGACCGTGCTTCCCAACCCGGTGTCGGCTTACGAAGTGCAGACCGATGCATCCGACTTCGCGATTGGTGGTGTTTTGATGCAAGATGGGCATCCCATTGCCTTTGAGAGTCGGAAGCTCAACGAGACGGAGAGACAATACACGGTCCAAGAGAAGGAGATGACGGCCGTAGTGCATTGCTTGCGCACGTAGAGGCACTACATGTTGGGGTCGAAGTTCGTAGTGAAGACGGACAACGAACTACTTTCTCACGCAGAAGAAGCTCACCCCTAAGCAATCGAGGTGGCAAGATTTTCTGGCCTAGTTCGACTTCATGATGGAGTACAATCCAGGCAAGGCGACCTATGTTGTAGATGCTCTTAGCCGCAAGAGTGCAGACGCAAGCATCAGCTAGCCCGTGTTTCCTTAAAATGAGCGCATCGTTGAAGGCCTTGGCCATGACCCCTTCGCCAAAACCGTGGCCGAGTACATTGAGCAAGGTAAGACTCGACAGTTTTAGATGAAGGATGGGCTCATCATGACCAAGGGAGAGTGTGTGTTCGTGCCAAGATGGGCCAACTTGAGAAAGGAGATCATGAAGGAGTGCCATGATTCTAAGTGGGTGGGCTATCCTAGCATCGAGAGAATGCAACCCTTATCGAAGAAGCATACATCTGGCCGCGTATGAGAGACGACGTGGAGATGTATGTGAAGACTTGTCTTGTGTGCCAACAAGACAAGATGGAGCAGAGAAGCCCGGAAGGCTTGCTAGAGCCCTTGCCCACGCCTGAACGACCATGGAATACTGTAAGCATGGAATTCATCATCGGACTTCCCAAAGTCGATGGATGCGGTTGCATCATGGTTGTGGTGGACAGGTTCTCGAAGTATAGAGTGTTCATCCATGGGCCAAAAGATATGACGACAGAGGATGCGGCGCGGCTATTCTTCAAGAACGTGGCCAAGTATTGGGGCATTCCTAGCAACATCGTGAGCGACAGAGATGGGCGTTTCATCCACAAAATGAAGGACAGACGGAGTGGGTGAATGCCTTGTTGGAGGTGTACTTGCGGCACTATGTGAGTGCAAACCAGCGAGATTGGGTGAAGTTTATGGACACGGCACAATTCTCCTACAACTTGCACCGGAGCGAGTCGACCAACACGAGTCCATTTGAGTTGGCGACGGGGCAGCAACCGTTGACGCCTACGATGGTGGCAACGGGGTATAGAAGCAACAGTCCGACAACCTACAAGTTCGCTAAAGGATGGCACGAGAAGATGGAGATTGTCAAGTCTTATCTAGCCCTCGCTAGTAAGAATATGAAGAAATGGGCGGACAAGAAGAGGCGACACTTGGAGTTTGAAGAGGGAGACATGGTGATGGTGAAGTTCTACCCTCATCGCGTCAAGCATCTCAAGAACGTGCACAAGGGACAGCTTCGCCGCTATAAAGGGTCATTCCTGGTGGTGAAGAGGATTGGCAAGGTGGCGTACAAGGTGGAGGTGTCGTCCTACTTGGAGATCCATCCAGTCTTTCATGTGGAGCCAACTCAAGGCTTTCCACGAAGAGAAGGAGGACGAGCAGCGGAAAGAGTCGCATCGAGCACCAACACTCATCACCGAGACACACGACCATGAATTCGAAGAGATCATGGCGCGCCGTGTCATTCCTCGTCGTGGCGTACATCCAAACTTCGTGGAACACTTGGTCAGGTGGTGCAACCTTCCAGAAAGTGAAGCAACTTGGGAGAAAGAGCTCATGCTTTGGAAGAACAAGGACTTGATCGAGGCTTTCAATCAAGAGGACGCGACGAGGGCGTCGCGAGCATAGGTGGGGGAGGATGTCACATGTGGCAGATGACATGGCACCAACAAGGTGACAACATGGCGGTTGCACATGTGGCATGTATGGAAGACTAGTAGCATAGAGATGTTCCTAGGATTCTCTACCTAAATGAGAGCTTAATGGTGCACTTATGAGTCACATAATGGGTGACATTTATAGAGTGCATAATGGGGGGACTTAATCATGGTTCAGAAAACCGTACCGGAAGTCATACCGGGTTTGTCTGTGGTAGGGTATTTTGTGGTACGTCTGTGGTTCAACCTTTATGTACCGGTAAGATACCATTTTTGGAATATAAAAAATATGTTTTTGTTAATAAACCGTATAGACAGTTTCAGTATACCGTTTCGGAGTATACCGGAATAAAACTGGAAAATACCGGATTACAAACTTGAATATACTAAATAGGCATAAGTAATGTAACAATCAACAAAGTGCAACATTTTAGAATCAACTACATAATCGTTCAAATGCATGTTTAGGAACGATTACAAAGTACAAAACAACCAAATACCATTCCAAACCCCAAGTTCACAACTACCAAGCAATCAATATGCTTTCAATTATACTTTTCCAGTTGGTTCCTTGACCTTTTAGTTACCACTTACCAGAGTTAAATCATTACTCCATGACTTGTTTATTTTGTTGAAACCTTTTACTTGGTCTTTATCGAAATCTCCTACCATCATATAACTCATGTTGAGCATGTCATTAAACATCAGGCGATTCTGCCAAGCTATTAGCAAAACACTAGGAATGTGAACTGAACCAGCATAGTGAAACAACCGAATCAATCAACACATGGACTCAAGTGTTAAATCTAAGACTGCTTGTCATTGGGTCTAAGATGGAACTCGAGCTCGACGTACATCTCTGGGATGGAAGTCCAACTCGTCGAGCAGGGGAGGGTGAATAGGCGCGGCGACGACGCGGTGTTCTCGACGTGGGAGGGAGATTGACTCGACGGTCGGCACTCGGCAGGGGAGGCAAACTCGAGCAGGGGGTGCGAGACTCGAACTTGTTGCAGATCACGGAAGGTAGACGACAGACGTCGCCCTCGCCTCATTCCTTTCATCAATCGTAGGTCACCAGAGGGGAAGAGAAGAGGAGCGGTGGGACAGGGTTGAAATTCTAGGGGAAAAAAGAAACGATTGTTCAATTTGGGTATTAGGGTATGGTCTCGACTTTTAATTGTTATTATTTTTTGGTTGAATAAAAAAACGGCAACATTTTGTGCCGCAAATAGGCTATCGCCGGTTTTTTCAAAACCGGGCAATATTTCGTTTCATGCCGGTTAAACCGAAAAAACCAACCGCCACGATAAATTAACCACTAACAGCCTACCGTTCCATTTCTGGTCTGGTTTCCAGTTTTTCCGGTTCAACCAGCTAGTACGATCCAGTTTCCTGGTCTATGGTTATTTCGACACAGCCATCTAATTTACGAAAAAAGTGCCACAACTCATTTCCAAAAGATATGAACTTGTTCGTAACGCCAACAGGAGAGCATGAGCGACGGGGAAAATTAAAACAAAAGAAGGTAAGAGGCTATTGGTTAGTTTGGCCAGAAATCTGCTGCTGCTGCTGCTGCTGCTGGATCTCCACTCCAGAACCGGGCTTTTCTGAGGGCTGCGACAGCGTATCTATCAGATTGTCCATGCTCATTTTACCTGAAGGAGGCATGCACCTCTTTGAGAAGAATGTTGAAATACTTTGTGCCCTCTTCACCACTCGCGCTGTGCAGCATCACAGAAAGACAAAAAGTGAAACAAACCTCTTAGCAGCTGTCGAGAAACATCGGATTTATGATAGCCATATGACAACATCAGTTCCCATTCGAAACGTTACCTGGTGATATAGACACACCAGCCTGGTCCATGACTTCTTTCTTGACCTGCATTCACATCATATGAAATCTAAACGTATTATTATGCTCCCCCACAACTCTTTGACGTTTCAAAACTAGCACGCTCATGGTCATGGTGTACACAATGTTTAATTGGACTTTGATTCAGTATAAAGATGGTTTTGTTCAGTGGTACTGTGGTAGGGCAAAGAAACACACATTCTTCCACATAAATCTCAACCACCAAAGCGAAAACTTTTTTTCTCCAGCAGACCACAAGTCTAGGTTACTTTCCTTACAGGAAGCCGTTATAACTAATACAGCTCACATCACAATATCTGAAAATAGTTGTTCTTGATATTTGGTGAGGCAGTTGGTAATTTTACTAACCTGCCATCTGTTATCGACAAAATCTGAGATCTCACGAACTTTGCATTTCAGTTGTGACTTTGACACTGTGGGGAACTTCTGCTGCAACGTTTCAATGACTTTACCAATACTTTGAGAGCACGACTGGACAGCCAATATCTGCCAGTAGACAAAACAATATTATATAGATCAGTTGTACGTAGCCATTCGATAAAGAATTACACATCCACAAATCACTCCATCAAATCCTCTTAACCAAAAACCTGGAATGGTAACTTACAACAGCAGGCATATCTGATTCTTGCAGTGATCGAGACATCGTGCATGAAACAGGCTTGGGATTATCCTTGGCATTCGATAGGCAAGCACTCTCTTCCTCGGCTTCTACAGTTTCAATTGATATTTCAATTGGTTGCCCGCTAGGGAAAGAACGCATACTGAGACCTCGTAAGCACATATCTTCCAGCTTTGATATACCGCCAACATCTGCATGTCCTAATGACATATCCTTCTCGTGAATTAGATTCAGTATAAAATAAGGCAGGTTTTTCTTCAGGGCGCTCTCTGTTAGATTGCTTAGATGCTTCTGCTGTTGAAGCAAAGTATAGAACTCCACACTCTCAGAGTCTTGTGTGCTACTAGGTGAACTCTTTGCCTCATCCACTGAGATGTCAATGTCCATTCTGTCAATTTGTACTCCCTAAAAGTAAAAACAAGCTCCAATTTTAGTGGCCCAGTTGATTATTGATTATAATACCATAAACTCCAGAACAAGAAAAGATTCACTAGCACAAACAAAAGGCAGAAAGTTTTTTTTAATGACCTGATAAGCTTCCACTATCAGTAATAATAGATCTAATGGGAACGTTAAACCAGGTTGTCTAATCCCGATCAGTTAGGTGTCAAACTTGTCAGTCTTAAAGGTTGGTACACATGCAGAAATAGGCTATTTAAAAATGGTCAATTTAGAGGTCAGTCAAGTTCAGCAACCATAAACTCCAATGCTTATGTATATACCTCATTTTCTGAGAAATAGCCATCAGGGACAAAAAAACCATCTTCACTTTCCTCTTCATCATCAGCTTTTGAGCTTCCCTCGAGATGTTCCTCTTCGTCATCCTTGTCACAATCTGAGAGGCTCTCACCCGGGTCCTCCTGCACAACCACAATATTAAACGAATCCACACCTGAAGTCTGTCTCTCAATCTTAAAATTTCAGACCATACCTCCTCCCATTCTTCATCGCTATCTATATCATAATCTAATTCGGGATCCTTCCTCAGTGGATGGCGTGGTTGGATAACATTACTGGAGAAACAGGATAAAGGGGAAAATCACTGTTACTGCCAACCCCAATAAATTTCAAATTTTACCAAATAAATTTAAGGAAAGACTTTAAACCAGAAAGTTTGACCAAAGCAACAGGCCAACAGATAGGCCGTTGAATATCATAAAGCCCTCTGGACACTAGAAAAATAGAAGGGCCATGCTTGTCTTGGATGTAGGAAGGACTAGCTTGACTCTGGGCATTAGTGAACCAGTAAACTGGGTCAAACTAAACCTTGTTTGGTATGATGTACAGAATAATAGCAGTGATATGGAGTTGTTAAATCTCAAACAAGTGCAAAAGAAGACCAGAAGAAATTTTCCACTCAAATTATCAGTTAAACTAAATAAAGAACCGAGCTACTTTCAAGGTATTAGCATTGACTAAGGAAAGAGTTCAGGTTAGCAGATCATGAATATAGACTATAAGGTCAGAACTTTGATTGAAAATACAAGCAATATATGTTTGATGCCGGAAACATTAAGTAAACTAAATTTACCAGAAGATGAAAGATTCTACCGATAACAAAAGCATCACCCTCACATATATAAAATGTGGTTGAAAGAAGCCCTTATCTGTTAAGAAGACCGTACTGATTTATTACTTTAAGCACCAACTAGACTTTCCCTAAACCTCAAAAGAGTAACTGATAAGGCAACTATGTAAAGCTAAACCATTAAAGAATCTCCAAGAAGGGGAGCATGGTAAGGGTTAGCAAAACTGCTATACGAGCCAAATGTCAATATGAGTTATGCATGTCAATATTTCAGTCAAGACATTCCCGTCAGGAGATAAAACAGAATGGCTACAAGTTAGTTAGTGCATCCCCTTTACTAACACAAACAATCTCAAGGAACAAGGGCACTACCTTTTCTTCGGCCAAATTCCATAAAATGCTGGCCGATGACACTTAGCAAACTGCAGTAACTGTTTCCTCCGGTTGCACCTTTTAATATCTGGAAGCAACACACTATGAAGGGCAATGAATTCTCCATCATCATATGGTTGCTTCCAAGATCCACTTGAAAGTTTCTCGACACTTAATTCATCATCAGTGTCCATTTCTCTATTACAAGTTAGCTTGAGCTTTTTAATCAAATTACTCTTTGGTTTCTGGCGTATGCTCCAGTGCCTTTTTCTGCTTAAATGAAGTGACTGATCCCGATGATGCCAGGAAGATATGTGCGACCTACAAACAGCTTAGTATTAGGCATCCTTTGAAAAACTTGAGCAGCAAGCAAGAAGAAAGCAATGGAATCTGGTAAGAAAAATGTGAACCCACTTGCGGATCTCATCAATTCCAACACCATCATTTGATGAAAAAGTAGTGTCCATCTCCTGTGTGACTGCAACGGGCATCCTTTCATGATCTTTGGCGGACAACTCAGTGGATCTAACACCAGTAGAAAACTGTTGATCGCGGGATTCTGAGCCTGTTTTGTTTCGATTGAGAAACCGTTCCATTATTGAGGCTTGCTTTTGTACAGAAATCTGCTGTTTCAGCTGAGCTTCTTCCTTTACACGGCGCCTTTTCTCCCTTTCAGCTTCAGACTCTTCTTTACCACGGCGCTTTTCAACTTTTTCAGCCTCCTCTTGCATTCGTTTTTCCTCCTTTTCCTATACAATGTAAAAAAAAAAAAAAAAAACAAGAAACAAAGACATCCTTAGGTAGGGAATGAAGCATCAAATTACTAATCTTCAAAAGTCACTAAACATGCACATACCATTTGCTGTTTTTCTCTTCGGACCTCAAGGTCCTTCCTCCTTTTTTCTTGCTCGGACGCACGCTTGTTTTTCTCAAGTTGCCTGATAAGCAACTTTTGTTCCCGCTTTACGTCTTTATCAGCCCTATACAGCACCAAAATGAGTTAGTGGATGATTTTGCAGAGAGCATACGCCAAATGAAATCCATAAAGAAAGTCCATATATACATTTCGGCATCATTTTTCTGCAACATGCCATCCATGTATGACCGAATGTCAGTTTCTCCTAATGTTTTCAGGAGCTTCTCCGATGCCTTCCTCAAATCAATTTTGTAATCTTCAACACTCTCGGACTTCTGGAGCACAGCAAGCATGGCTGAAATGTATGGAAACTGCATTAATCAAAGGACACAAACTATACATGTACTTGTACAACACAATAATCGAAAGGGTGACATGCAGATGAACTATTTAGCTTGAACAGAACTGATTAAGTTGGCAAAAGAATCGTATGGCCCGATCTAGAGAGACAGAAAAGCTGGAGGGGAAAGGGTGACTGTTAGGATTAGACATTAGTACTGCAGTGTCAGGGAAGGAAGTCGCCTAGGTACCTGAATAAAACACTTCTGAAATCCCTAAAAGATATCACATGAATGCAATGTTAAGCTTGATTTCCCCTTATTGAAGCATTGATTGCAAAGGTCGCAACAATAAACAAGGAACGGAGAACCATATCCGTGTCACATGTTTTACATTTATTTCAGGAACTTTGATCAGAACTAAGATAGAATACAACCAAATAAATCTCAAAAGAGTTACCATAAATCGCAGTAATTCTCTCATGGATCCTTCTCCGACATTCACGTCTAACTTTTAAAGAACTTCGCAATGACTTTGGCATCAATTTCAGGTCCCTTGTCTGCAAAAAAATAATCAAAATAACAGGACCTCATTGAATAGAATGGATAAGCATGTCAAAGAAGTCACAACTTACTCCCAATAGTGCTACTTATACACTTACACTGCAAGAAGTTCAGTGGCCAAGTCAAGTAGCTTGGCACCAAATAGAAAAATACAAAAGAATTGCAAAATCAAAGTGCAATCATTCAAGAAGTTGAGCAAATGATAGGAACCTAGCAAAGAACCAAGATCCATAACAAAGAAACAAACAAATGGGAAGGCATGAAGGTAAAGAAAACGCATCATCACCTCCCAACACCACAGACAGGACGGCGAGTCATCTTCGAGAACATCGGCGTCAAGATTGGGCACCCCATACATGATTCTTTGGCCCACAAGCAACACTGAGCTCTTAATCCCGGCCATAGTTGTCATGGTTTCGTGCTTCACCCGACTATCCTCCAACTTGCTCTTCAACCGTTCAATCAGCCTGGCAAGGGGCAGTCCACTCTCCTCTATCATCAGGGCCACCATTCCGTTGGCCGTCTTGCACTCGATTCCGGCCAAATCAAGGCCGAAGCCAAAGCCGACCTTGTTACTAGCAATTTCATGGAAATAGAGAATGAGGGAGCTCAATTCTTGGCGCAGCAGCTGAGCGTGGGAGGCTTTCTGGTCAGGGGTCAAGTTGAGCGGCGAAGGAGACGAAGACTTCCGTTTCCGCTTGAGGGATTTGGCAGGTCGACCCTGAGAACTAGGGTTTGAAGGCGGAGGGAGACCAATCGGTACGTTGAGTGGATCCGCCATAGCTTTTTCAGCGGGACGGGAAACCCTAACGAAAGACAAAAGACTATGAAAATGAGGCGACGGAAATGGGAAAGGAAACCCGGTGACGGACAGAAGCAGAGGTGTCAACTGTTGAAGCAAGGAGGCAGATAGCAAACCAGCAATGACGACGCGTGGGACTGAGATCTCGTGCGTAGGATTTCCTCGCTCTGTCTCTTCACTGTTACGGATTGGATGTCTCGCGGGGAGTGGAAGAGAAAGGAAACCTGTTCCTAAAATAAAAATACAGGAATATTGTATTCCCGCCTAACAAATTACAACTTCGCGCCAATTTACATTCCGGCATCTTTTTAGCGGGGTACTTGAAGGCCATGTTTGGAGGGTCAAATTCAGCCGGTTGATACATTTGGGGTCGTTTGGATGTGGAAATTTGAAAACGTGGGAATTTGTCTGAATTTCCATGTTTTACAAAACTAAGGAATTGACTTGTGAAAATTGAACAAAATTCCACGTTTGGATAGGGTTTAGTTTTGTGGGAATTGATAATGTGGAATTTGGTAAAAATACAAACATGCCCTCCTTTGTTTATATACATATACCCCTCCTAAAGGTTGTTGTTGTATTATACTAACTACTAATTGTTGCTAACTTAAGCATAGTTAGAAAAATATGATATGGAAAAGTTACGTATAAAATACGTACGATTATTTTACTTCATCTCTAAGCTAATATTACATTTAATAGTACATTAAAACCATAATATATAAACTTAATTATTTTAATAATAAGTACATATATAAATTACAATAAAGTTAACAATTTAATTCATTAAATACGTATAAAATATGTACGATTATTTTACTTCATCTCTAAGCTAATATTACATTTAATAGTACATTAAAACCATAATATATAAACTTAATTATTTTAATAATAAGTACATATATAAATTACAATAAAGTTAACAATTTAATTCATTAAATACGGATAAAGTGTTTAGGCGAATTCGATGAGGAGAAGTAGGAAAATCGACGGTGAATGAGATAATTAAGTGAATCCAAAATTAAGAAATTGACTACGGATTATCGAAGATATACGAAGGTGAGGGGAGATGAAGAAGAAGAGGTATCATTGATGAATGAAAAAGAAGGGGCTACGCTTTTAAGAAATAGTTAGGCGAAAACGGAGAAGGAGTAAGAAAGAAAGGAGGTCCTAGGTTCGAATCCCTTAATTAGTACCTTAATTACAAAATGAAACCTATATCACCCTTATAAAAAAAAGGAGAGGAAGGACATAGGGACACATTTGGAAATAGAAGGAAGAAAACGTGGTAATGTCAAATTACCAGGGGGAGATGTAGTATTCTCAATTACAATGAATGTGGTAATTGAAGCCAATTTCCACGGTCCAATTCCCATACCTTTTTGCGCTGCCAAACGTGGGTTTTTAACCCAATTACTGCATTATGTGGTAATTGGGTCCAATTACTGCATTAAATTTCCACATCCAAACGAGTGATCAATTTATATGTTTAACTAAACGTTTCGATCCAGTTAAATTGACCCGTTTATTCGGTCCCGAATCGGTTTTTTCGGGAATATAAGGATCAAAGATTGGATTGGATACATTCCGGTCTTGATCTAGTCTGGTTCCAATTTGGTCTTGATTTTAAATTGGACTTGTCGGGATATGAGTGGCCTAAGACCTCAAAGGGTGAGGAGTTTGTTAAGTTTTGGATGTTGGACTCTCTTATCCGATCTTTATCCGGTTTTCGGTCCGGTCCCGAACTGTTTTTTAACCTCAAATGATCTAAGCCCGAATATGGGATTGGATTGTTTGCTATCCGGTCCCGGTCCGAATTATACGGTCTGGTTTCGGGTAAAACCAAAAAGCACGGACCAAATAGTCACCCCTAATAAATCGATTGTTGCTTATCCGGTTAACCGTAAATACGTTTAATTGGATAATCGAAAACGATAATATTGGTTGTGGTTTTGATATTGATTGTCGTTTTGAAGAAGAATATACAACCGGCAAACGTTGGTTGCTAGCCGATGAACTCTTAATGCACTGATAAATAACCGATAGATGCTTCTCGACGCCCATGCCTCTCCATCCTCTCCCTCTCCTCTCGACACTTCACCACTCTCTCCCCTTCCTTCCTTCCCCAGTTCCCTTCTTCGCCCACCTACATCAAACCTCTTAATCCTGAACTCATCGCCCCACCATTCTCACTATCACATGATCGCCACCATCCGCATCCTCGTTCCGACTTGTGCCCGTCCAATTGCTCGAATCGACCAACAAGAAGACGATGATAGCCTTTATTCTCCGTCATCCTCTCCATCGTCCTCAGGCTGATATCCTCTAGATTCCATATCCAGGTCCAAGGTCGCAAACTCGACAAAGGGTTGTAGGTCAATTTGATTGGGATTAATCTGGTTTGTGGTCGAATTTGGGCGATGCACAGATTTCTGGCCGGAAAGAGAAAGCTCATATTGCCTTCCTTGTCGCCGTCGCCCCCATCAACCTTAATGCAATTCCGGACCGAGAAATGAGGAAGAGGCCGGGGAAGGAGAATCGAAGACCTCAGTCAGAGATATTAAATCCCCGACCAGGGATTTGGCGAGTAGACCGGAGATTGGAAGCAAACTACCCTCGATCAGGTGGATTTAAACCCCTTGACAGGGGATTTGAGATCACGTTTCAAGGCTGGCCAAGTTCAACCTTCCTTTACGGTTTAGGATTTTGTTTCTTTTGAGGTTTTTGGTTATTTTATTTGTCATTGACTATATATATGGCTTAAGACACAAATTTTGAGGGAGTTTTGGCAGAATATTGAATTTTCTTGGTTCTTTGAGCTTTAGACTTGAGAATTTTCTCTGTATCAATCAAGTTTTCCCCTTATTGTGGTCGAGATTCTATCTTTTATATTGTCAGAGCCTTCTCCCATCTTGTGTTGAGATTGCACTTTCAATTCCATCATATCCCAAACAAAAACCCTAAACATTATTTTCTTTTTCGTTCTTGAAGATGCGTAACTTTGGTAAATACGGTTACCGGTTCTATGCTCGTATAAGGTAGTATCAGAGCCCGGTTCAACACAGTGGTGAGATCAAAGGCGAGATGACTTTATTCTTCTCGTACAATATCAAAAGACCACATGCGGAATGCAGAGAAGATGAAGAATCGCTCTCTGAAGAAGAAACCCTAATTGAAGAACAAGCTATGAAAGAACAAAGTCTTGCAGAAGCTATGCAGTTGCTTGCCGCGTAGATGGCACAGATGGGAGCCTTGCTTCATGCCTATCAGGACACTACCAAAGGTCAGTTGGTTGAGACTAATATGCGCCTACGTACATACCCTAATCACCAGGTTGGAGAAGCAACCGATGGGTAACCCACTAAAGAATCCATTGGTATATTGGCGCAGACTGGAGTTGAGAATCGAGGGGGTCCAAGAAAAGATCAAGTATACCAAGCTTTTCCTAAGACCCCAGATTGGCATATGCAGAGGCGTCTACAAACAGAACCACATCATCAGGTAATCACATAGTACATACCTCCCTTTAATGACTATGATAATGATTACCATGATTATGAAGGAAGGACACCAGAAACAGAAGGATATGGCATTGATCCGATTTGAGAGATTAAGCTCTCAATCCCGTCATTTCAAAGATCTAGTAGTGCATCAGCTAACCTCAACTAGGCAAGGAAGATGATCTTGTTTTTTTAATGCAATCCTTACCCAGATCATAAGAAAATTCTAGTAGCCACCTACGAGTTTACAGAGTATGCAGCAGCTTGGTGGGAATAAGTTTAGTTTCGACGAAGAAGGAATATGCAGCCCATTGTTTCTACTTGGGAAGAACTTAGAGGCTTGATGCGTGATTGGTTCGTGCCTCCTTTTTATCAAAGAGACCTCCATGATTCCTTGCAGTGAATTTGACAAGGAGCACGATCGGTTGATGAATATTTTAAGAGCTAGAGCCGTTCTTGATGAGAGCATATGTGAGGAAGGACAAGGAAGCAACAATTGCTCATTTCCTACATGGGCTCAGCTAATGAAGTCGAGCTTCGTCAATTCATGGAGTTGGAGGAAGTGGTTGATTTGGCTATGAATGTGGAGAGGCAGCTGAAGGTGAGCTCGGGAAGGAGGTACCCACCTTTGCCCAAACCAGTTGCAGAGAGCATTCCTGAGACTACTATGACTCACTCTAGGCAAGAAGGTGACAAGCCAATTTCTAGGAACACGATCACAGTTATCCAAGCCAGAAATGAAGGATCAACTAAAAGCATCCAATGCTTCAAATGTTTGGGATGAGGTCACAAGGAAAACCTGTGCCCCAACAAGAAGGCTCTGGTCTTGCGAGTTGGCGAGTACTTTTCTGATGAGTATGAGGATAAGCCCATGGGAAAGGGATTCGATTCTGATGATGATGTTGATGAGCACATCATGATGGAAAATCCTCCATCAGGTAAAACTTCTTGGATTAAACCACAAAGCTTTATCTATTGAAACTTATATAGAGACAGAGCAGAGGGATAACCTTTTCAACTCTCATTGATTGGTCGACGGGAAAGTGTTACCCGTGGTCATTGATGGTGGAAGTTGCACCAATGTATTTAGTTTGGATGTAGTCAATAAGACAGGATTGAGTAAAATTAAGCATCCACATGCTTATAATCTTCATTGGTTGAAAGTCTATGGAGCTATCAAAGTCAACAAGAAGGACAAAATTTGTTTTCAGATAAGTGATTATGCGAATGACATTTGGTGTGATGTTGCTCTCATGCAGGTTGCTCATCTCTTATTGGATCGTCCATGGCAATATGAAGGGGAGGTTATTCATGATGGAATACATAATAACTACCGTTTCAAGAAAAGAGATTGGAAGTTTCTATTGAATCCATTGTCACCAACTGAAGTCCGAGCATATCAACGACAGATGGAGCTGAACTGGTCCAAGGCAAAAGGGAGTGCAAGTGGATCGAAGTCGGAGGACGGAAGTGGCACTCATCTCATTGCTCGAAGGCACATGTTGACTGCGGTAATGAGAATTCCATTTGAAAATTCTATTACTATTATCTCTTGCAGGAAAACACAAGTTTTGAGGGTAAAGTTTTTCTAACGGGGAGGGACTAATGCAATTCCCGACTGGGAAATGAGGAGGAGGCCCAGGGAAGGAGAATCAAAGACCCCCACCAGAGATATTAAATCCCCGACCGGGGATTTGGCGAGTCAACTGGGGATTGGAAGCAGAACTACGCCCGGTTATGTGGGTTTAAACCCTCGACCGGGGATTTGAGACTGGGTTTCGGGGCTGGTTGAGTTCGACCTTCCTTTTCGGTTTAGGATTTTGTTCCATTTCAGTTTTTGGTTATTTTATTTGACCTTACTTCATAAAGGGCTTAAGACATGAATTTCGAGAGAGTTTTTTGGCCAGAAAATTAAATATTCTTGGTTCTTTGAGCTTTAGGCTTGAGAATTTTCTCTGTATCAGTCAAGTTTCTCTCTTGATTGTGGTCGAGATTCTATCTTTTATATTGTTAGAGTCTTCTCCCATCTTGTGTTGAGATTTCACTTTCAATTCCATCCTATCCCAAAACAAAAACCCTAAAAATATATCTTCTTGTCCGTTCTTGAAGCTGCGTGACTTTGATAACTACGGGTACTGGTTCCGTGCTCGTATCATACCTCCTCGATGTCCCTCATCAGCACAATCACCACCTCACCATCCTCGTTGATCATCTCCTCACCCGCTTCGCCTTATATGTCGCTATGTGAAGAACCTTCCAATTCGATGGAGAAGCAGCAGAAGACTTTCGATCCCGAAATCGCATCTGATGCATGGAGCCGAGGTGCCCATCCTTACTGTCGAAATAACCAACGAATGACTGTTCCAAACAGTGTCAGTGTTGGCTAACCGAATGTGAACTCAACGTCAGTTTCAGTTGGAGACTTATGCCCATTCTTGGTGTTGGATAACCGACCTAGCAGTTCGGTTAAATATCAACCGAACCGATTATGTTATATGTATTGTTTCACTATATAAATTTGAAATACACAATTTGGAAGTTGAGATTTTTCTTTTTATAAAGAACAAACCAACACATATTTTAAGGGTCAAAGATATTTTGTTGAGATTGATAAAACTTCATTTTGAGACATTAGAAGTATCCATAAAATATTCAATACATCAACTATGGCTCAAAATAAAAACATAAAAAATAGTTATTCTCAATAGTACATGTATTGGCTAAATAGATACTCTCAACCCCAACCTCCAAATGACTCTTAAATTATTGCCCGTTTTGTTTTCTCTCGACACAAAGACTAAAAGGGCATTATAGCCCTTTGGCCCTAAAAATGTATCTTCTACCAATGGCTAAAATAGAGAGCTAAAAGGCTAAACATAGTTTTAGGGGGGTATTTTAGCTCTTATTTTGGGCGAGGGGTAAAAAAATGGGTACCATATGCAAAAAGCTCCCAATGGTTGGAAGCAAGAAGCAGTCGCACCCCCCCCCCCCCCCCCCCCCCCCCCCCCGCCCCCCGGTGCATTGCTTATGGAACTTTATTTAGCGTTTTTCACTCTCATTATTGATAATTTTCCCTTCCATCAAAGCATCTTTGGTTATTTCAATAATATTTCCTATCTAAATCACAACTATTTGATCAATGAGCCTTTAAAAGACCTAGGTTATATACTTGTACTCTTTGATGCCTTCTGGGTATATTCTTTTTAATGGTTTTGAAGGTACAAAGCAACCTAATAAATATTGGATCAAGCATTGGAGAACTCTGGAGGACCAAATGAGCTATAAAGAGAAGAATATGGAGCTTTTGTGAGAAAGAAGAGGCCTAATGACGGAGAAGTAAACTAGAAGTTGCTTAATAAGCTCAAGACAAACCCATAGGAGGAAGGATCGGCCCAAGCTCAAGAAAGAATGAGTGGTATCCTAATAACAGGTCCAACAACCGCTACGAAGGATATGTCAAGACGCGTCCAAATTGCAAGGAGGAGGAGTTTATTTTGCCCACGGGGAGAAGGAAACTCTTTTCTAGTCAATTTATGATGCGTTCTTCCCCAATAAATAGAGAGTATTTCTCATTAGCTTAGTAAGGCTGCACAAACACACTAACTCTCTGTACACTCTACGTGAGTGATATCCTAGTCTTCATAGGAGGGTCTACAGCTAATGAGATGATGTCATCATCAATGGTGGTACCTTCATTCTCTTCTATTTAGCTAGTCAAAATTGATTGACGAAAGATGTGTACTTGTATATCTTTATGTGAATGGATGCCATGATTTCACCTCATGCTTGTGTTTGTCTATATGGATTTCAATGCCCATTCCCTATGTATTGATGCTTATCTTTCGATGGTTATGTGATGTTCATTGATGTTTATATAGTATGAATGCTTCTTTATCATCAATGTTTTTTTTTATGTTATTATATGCTACTATATGCATTGTGCTTAGTATCATCTAGATTGATAATAAAATAATCTATAGTGATACCTTGTTGATGCTACATGAGTATAGAGGGAATGATCAACCATCTATACCTCGAGTAGTATCACTGATATTCGATACTATAGACCATCAATAATGGTTCGTAGAAACTCAAAATTAATCATGTGCTCTCCAAATTTTCTTGTTTTTCATTAATTAGGTGATGGCATGAAGCAAAAGCAAGCATTAACTAGTTAAATCACTATCACAACAATTACTCTTCTTGCATTACTTTTTCTTGTTTGATAGTTGAATGAAACCCCTCTTTGTGTTGTCGAGTTGGCTAGGGTGGATCCAAATGAGGGCGGTTATAGGTAGGTTAATTATGTTGTAGGATTTACGTCCTTCAACAATTTTAATTTCAAAGATAGTCTGCACGCAATCAAGCAAATATTGTAACAAAATGGGTTTTGGCACTCTGCGTCATACTCTCTCTTCTAAGTTACAAGCAACCAAGTTCGTGGTTCCATAAGCTTGTGACCTCTCCCAATGGATGACCTACCCTAAGCTCTCTCTCCATCCTCTTCTTGTTCCAAGTCAGTTTGGCATGCATAACCCCTAATCAAGTAGCTTCAAGTCAAGTAATCCCATTTAATTTGGAGATTTACTATGATAGGTCGTTTATAAGCGACTCACAGACAGCGGCTTTATTACATTGTCGTGTTATCAATACAATTGTCACCAACAGATTTGTAATAAGAGAGCTGACATCTTCCTTTGTGCATCTTCGATGGAAAACGGAACCCAAAAAAGTTACTCTAAGGTTTGAGACTCGCTCAAGAAATGAACACCCCTTGTCTCGTGAAGTCAGACTGCCTTTCGTTGGTCAATGATCCTCTCTTCCCTCCTTTGCATGGCCTTGATTTCGCTCGGCGTGGATTGAGATTATTGTTAATATCATATCCTTCAACTCCTACATCAAACTGGAGTTTTCTCCCTAAGAAGCTGAGTGTTCTTCCCAGTATTGTATCACCATTCTTAAACTTCTCTCAACCTTCATTTGCAACCGTTCTAAGAAGACAATGAGAGTAAAATAATGCAGAATACACCAATAATAACGATATATATAATTGTTTTTTTTTCCTTCCTGTTAACAATACAACAATTGTTTTTTTTTTCCTTCCTTTTCTTTCTGAAACTGGTAAAATAAGTATTACTATTACTATGACTATCAGTATCTTTATAGGACACATGTGTATCTAAGGGAAGAGTGGGCATCGTACGTACGCAGGTACGTGTTTATGTAGTAACCTTTTCTTCGTTGGGTATTGATGGGCGTTCACAAATAATTAACTATATTGTGTGTTTTTGTTTTTCTCTTCGTGTGCTGCCGGCCGGCCGGCCGGATGGATCATCGCCGCCTTCCCCCGGAGCCGCTCTCCCTTTGGCAGTTGAAGTAGACGGCGGCCACCGGCGAGCCCAGATTGTAGAGCTCGGCGAAGTCTCGGGTGTTGAAGTTCTGGCGCCAACCGGGTGCGTAAACCGTCTGCCGGCCCAGTTGCCGGAACAGTATGAATACGAACCGGTGAATCCCCACCGACGGCCGCGGGCTCTCGTAGCACACCACTTCTTGCCCTGCACGCACGCGCCATATTATTATTATTATTATTATTATTATTTAATCTAACTACATGATTAAAAAGGCTGCGGGTCCGTAATTAATTACCAAAGCTTGCCCCGGTAGTGGCTGGAATATCTGTCACCAGCCTGCAGTAAGAAAATCACAACCAAAAAAAAAAAAAATTACTTTTTGACTGTGGCATGAATTTTACTATGAGCACTTAAATCATGAGAATTTTATTAGTGAGTGGGAGGGGAGTCCTTTTATTCAAAGTTGCTTGAAAGTTGAAACTATGAACAGCCATGCTTTTCGTACACCAAAGCTTTGATAGAGATGAGCACTTTTTCCCCCACTTTCTGTCTGTCTATTTGTTCTGCTGGTTGTGCTTTTTATTTGCTTGACGGAACTTTTTTGCTTTTCAAAGGACTCGTTACTTGCCATAAATGGAAACCTTTGCCCGATTCGTCCCAATGGCGGACTGGCCCACTCGTGACACAATTCATGAATCTACGTAAATCTCTTTGGAAATATAATTCCACGTGTCCACCATTTCGTACAAAGCTTATTAATTAATTAATTAATTAATTTCTACTACCAAAACAATATATGAATATTGTTTTTGACATGAAAGACAATACGAATATTACGGCCGAGGTTATGGATACAAAACTCGCCTATTTCTAAAGCTACAAAAATCTCTTTCTAAATTTTCAACAGGGTAGCTAATAGAGTTTTTCAATCTTATCCTTGTAATCACACAACAATTAACCTAAAGAGAATATATGAACTAAACTACCTTCATTTTGTAGTAAAATTTTAAGAGAATGGAATGCAATAAACTTTTCATCAATTAATAATAATATAATAATTAGGACTAATACCACTAAAAATATCAATCTTTAGTGATATTGCTAAACTTTTTTATATACCATTTCCATCTTGTTGTTAGTATTCTATTAATTTTTTCCTGATCTGACCGGCCAAAAGTAACAATAAGAAAGTAGAAAAAATTAGAAAAATAATAATTATGACCGCTAACTCTGAAAATTGGATGGGCGTTTTCTCTGCCTCTTCTTCTCCTTCCTCCGCCTCCTTCCTGTGCCTTGCCCTCCGCTCCAACCCTAACCTCTCCAACAACAACAACGCTGAGCTGGCGGTCGCCGATGAATCCCCCGATCGAACCTCTCCTCAAAAAGCTCGAGGATGCCATCCAGCGCATCATCGCCGGCCGGGCCGCCGTCGATTGGCTCCCTTTCCTTCCCACTGGGTCCCTCCCATTGATCTATCATCGGTTCCTTCCGGATCAGCCTCCATGCCCTGGTCGCCTCCTCTCTCCTTTTTTTTGTTGGCGTGGCGGTGTAGATTAAGCGCTTGCGAGGAATTTGGGAGCAAGGTCCAAAAGAACAGGGGAGGGCGAATGCAGAGTAGATGAAAATTAGGGTTTCTTAAAATCAGGTTGAATTGTTTCTCGAAGAGGTGTGGAGCTGGTAAGAGAGGGTTGTTCGTGGAGTCTCTGGCGTTGGAATCCGGAGGTGCTAGAGCAGAAGGGAAGACAGGCGATGACGAAGCGAGAGAGACGAGAGACGGAGTTGAGAGTGAAGGAATCGTCGGAGAAGGCGGCAGTGAGAATCGGACGGTTGCGGTCAGCAGGCTCGAGGTGGGGAGTTTTGTTCGAAAGGTTGATCACTGTTACGTCAATTGTTAACTCTAACAATTCATTGAAATTTGTGCAACACTACACAAATAGTGCTAACTTCCAATAGGTTGAAATATTATTTGAATTATTGAAGTATCATAATATAAATGACTTTTTGTTGAAGATTAGTATTTTTTAGTGGTATTTACCACGATGGTATTACAAATAGTCCACATCATCCAAAGACCAAAATCTTTTGCGGTATAACTATTTGTGATAGAAAAATTAAAAAGCAGCAGAATCATTAAGATTCCTTGTTATGAGCTTTCACTGTAGCCAAGCCAGCAGCAGCCACATAGCTTTCTCAAAAGGAACCGACTGCTTGCTGCTGACTATATATTCTGCTTCTGCCAATGAAAAACTAGATAACGATTCTTCCCTTTTTACCCCACCCTCCCTTTTCTTTAACTGGCCTCTCATAACTTGTTTTTGGATTCTGTGGTGCACTTCCCACCCCGGGAGGCTTTCAATTGAGTTGAGTGGTATATCATCAATAAAAAAAATTCTCTTTCTAATAACTCTAAATATTGTGACCCGCTTAGTTTATAACATGACATCAAAATTGATTTGATTAAGTAGGAGTGTATGCACAGATCTCAAACTCCGTATTACGAAAACTGGAGAAATTACCAGTGTAAGTATTCCCTCAAGTTAGGGTCACTGGGGCTTGGCGCGTCCGGATCCACCATAACCTGCAAAAGAAAAAAAAAAGGTGGCACGAAATCACCACAAGGCCTATTACAAAAAGACATTTTTACTTAACAGTTTATTTGATACTTTGGAGGAATATTACAAAAGACGTATATAGACAATATATCCCACCAGTTGAAAGAACATATCTAATCTAGGCATGCTATTGGTTGAGAGTTGCTATTCAAGGGATGCCAATTCCATCTCCACTTACCAGCGAAATCATCATATACAGTACAAGAAGAAAGACAGCAACGGAAAAGATTCGGTTTTAACTTGGATGATCGAGAAACACTTTCACCCTGGAGGTTGGGAGCTTGGGGGAGAAGAGAAGACTGACAGCAGTAAGTAAGTAATGAAAGCTCTGAGTTGGAAGGAAGATGGCATTTACCAGAGTGTAGAAGGTCCTGAGGTCCTCCCCGCCAATGTCGACGCGGGGTTGGTTGGCAACCTGAGAAGGTTTGAGCTCGCACCCGTTGTTCACTTCCCTGCTGTTCATGTAATTCACCCTCAGCGGGATCGACCTCGTGAAAGGATCCAACACATCCCCTATCACCCGCCCTACCACCAGCGGATCCCTGTCCCTCGGCATTCAATTTACTAATTTCTCTGCTTTTGTTTTAAACTTCACAGCATGAAAAAAGCGAAAAGGAGGGTAGTAGTTGCTGTTTTGGCTTATTTGCCAGGAATGAGCGAAACCCATGTTTATATAGACGCAGCCGCAGCCGCAGCAGCAGCTCAGGCAGCTCAGGTCGGACCACAAGAATAATGGCATCTACGCTACATATCGCTTACAGTAGTATCTTTTTTTTTTTGGTTTACAAGGAACGAGAAGAGAAGAAAAAGGCAGCACGCATAGCTTCCTTTCATTCTGTTATCTCCTCATCTTGTTGGTCTTTGTCGTCAACCTGATTCTGCAGAAACTGCCCTTTCCTCACCCCCCTCCAGGCCAATGTTGTACGTTTAGATTCCTAGCTGCATCAAAATTAAAGTTGTGGTGAAACACTCCCATACGTGTGGACCTCCTCCCCCATCTTTTTTTCCTTGTATAACCAGGGGTGAAAGCTTGTCCCGGAAGACCCACTGACCCGTTCCGTCCCTAAGGGTCGGGACGGGTCAGTTTGTCTACAGGGACAGATTAGAGACGGGTCATTTGTTGACCCTATAAGGGTCGGGACGGGTCGGGACAACTTAGGGACGGGTGACGTTTTGACCCTGTGATCCTTAGCAACAACAAGTATCTCATACTCCATTAGACCTTTTTTGTAAAGTTTTAAAAGTTTAGGTACTAATTTGTAAAAATAAAAAAATTTGGGTACCAAAACGTAATTTTACCATCAAAATTTATGGACTTATTTGTAAAAAATAAAATTTAGGTACTAAATTGTTAGAAAAAATAATTTTGGGTACCAAAACGTAATTTGTAAAAAAGTAGTGTGTTGATTAGGGTCGACCCACTGACCCGGCCCATCCCGTCCCGTCCCAACCCTTGAGGGTCAGACAGGGTCAAGAAGGAGACAGGGACGGGACGGGACGGTTTTACATCTTGACCCTTCAGGGACGGGTCGGACAGGGACAGGGACGGGACAGACAAATTTTCAGCCCTATGTATAACCCTTCCCATCAATTTATTTTATTCGGCTTAGGATAGGTCGGTAACCATTGGTTACGGACCTATTAGTAACTAAATCTGAACCTTTAGATCTAAGTGGACCCAGAAAATCCAGATATAAGGGTTGTCAACTAAATGCATTTTATTTTCTCTAGTTTTCATAATCGGCTCTTATCTTCTTCATAGATGGAACGAGTTCGTTGTGCTCTATAAAATGAGATCAATTTTCAATATATTCCGAGAAACTTTTTTTTACCAACTACATACCATATGGTAACTTATTTGTTTTAAAGTCGTTTTTGAAAACGTTTGCTCAGAAGAAACGAGTTCATCATGATCTATTGTATTTACAAATTTCTGAGTGAAAAAAATACTGGACCAAAACCATACTTTACCACTATGGTATGTGGGTGGTAACGTGTGGTAACTTGTAGTAAACAATGATGAAAGTCGTAGATGACAGTTAGTATACTCCTACTATCATGTATTCAACCTTCTTATCTTATTGGTATGTTCATACGATAATGGTACGTTTTCTTACCATATGGTATTAAATAGGAGCATACCGTATGGTAATGACGGGTAAAAAATTATTCAATTTTCTTTGTACTAAAAATATATCAAAGTGAATATCATTTTAAAGAGCACATTTAATCTGATTTATTTGTGCAAACGATAAAGAAATCGTTCTTTAAAGATTAAAGACGAAAAGATAAAAGATTTTCCAAGAGAGATGGATACTGATGTCATGCTAATGTGGACAGATTACTCATGGTTACTGACATTAAGGTTACTGATCTGATTCGTTCCCATTTTATTCTTCCTCTAGTTACTTCCTTTCGTATTGTTTTAATTAGCATACATGGACATCTCAAGAGTGGTTAACGACGAAGCCAGTCGATTTCCATAGTTAGCAAGCTGCAAACTACCCAACAGACAGCACCGACCGATGGTGACAGCTCTGCCCTTAAGCTGCTACTCTTTTTGTTCCGTTCTTTCTTTCGTTTCTTCAATATTGAATTATATATCATTTCCCCTTTCCAGAGAAAAGGGCCCCACCCTTATTACTATAAAAAGAAACCATTTGTCCGGATTGGCCGGGGTGACCCCACTTCATCACATGAACACCATCACCCGGCGATCCAATTCTCACCTATCACAGGCCATCATCCATGACCACACGGAGCACTAACTAGTAGCTAGCTCTTAACTTTAACACCCTATACCCTACTGTTACCCGCATACAATTCGACTATGATGCTCAACTGCAATTCTTCGACTATTCGAGATTGTATATGCAATCATGCATACCAAATCTGGAGACGAGGATATATATATGTCGCGATCGAGGGGCCAGTATACCGCGAGCGCGTCTTGAAGGTCTCTCAATCACCTGCAGCAATATTACAACATGTCACTAGCTAAAGCTAGCTGTTGGAAAATGAGCGCAGAAAATTCATCAATTGTCAGCTGAAGATTTGGAGAGAATGTGGCGGAACAGAATTGCAGGCAAGTGCTATGCTGCATGGTATTGAGTATTGACTATTGTGTCAAATGAGTCATTTTACTCTTCCCACGGCATGTGCCTGCTTTGGTACAGCAAGTAAGAAGAGATACTGGAAATGATAATTAAGGCTGTAATAAATGCAGCAATTGGGGCAGCGTATGCCAGTTTCCCGTACCCTATGTAATAAGCAAGGGTTTGTCTTATACCTTCGTGCCGGGTTAGTATTTGAAATGGTTCGATCGATGGTATAAATTATAATAAGTTTGTGCAGAATCATATGAGTTTAACAAAATATAGAGAAATGTGAAAACTCATTAACATCAAAAGAATTTTAATCATATATCAAATATATTTAATACAATTATCTTAGAATTCATATTAAATTTTATATAAAAACGATATTTCAAATAAAAGAAGAAATAAAATACCACAGTTAACGCCAATATTTAAACGCTTAAACTTGAATCCAACAAATAACATCAACATTTAACTTTTAAATTAAAAATTAATAAATTATTTTTTTATTATTTAAATTCACTAAAACGACAGCATTTGTTTAGAGGTTGTACATGGATCATATCGGTCATACCAGTAGTGTTCAAGTCGACTTCATGACTGACATTGATTGAACCAGGTTCAATCGGCCGACATCGCCACCGACATGACAACCATGGTAATAAGACAACTTGCATGGACATTTCATATTAGTAAGAATAAAGATGGAAAAAGAATAAACAAAAAAGAACATAAATAAAGTGTTTTTTTTTTTGCATAAATAGGGTATAAAATAGATATTATAAGACACTGGAAACCCAAACGCGACATTCGATAACTAATTGAACTGCCGATGAAAGGGCATTAGTAGCCACTAGATGGGAAGCCCTGTTGTACAACCTAGGAGTAAAGTTGCAAGAAAAGTGAGAAAAGAAAGAAGACGCCCAACAAATTTCTTCCAACAGAGCCTCCCGAGCGCCATGAGAAACGTCTCTCTCCCAAACATGCCAAATCAGAAGTTGAGAATCACCATAAAAGTTCACATACAAATAGCCATGCGTTAGACACCAAAAGATTGCATCACGTAACGCCAACACTTCCTTAATAAAAGGATCCGTAATACCTGAATAATGTTTGCCGAAAGCGAAAAGAAGCACTACTGCTGCTGAAAAACCAGCAAAGCCTATGCCACCTCCAGGCCTTTTTTTCCATGCCCCATCGAACCGTACAAGCATGCCCCCTTCTCGGCAGTGTCCATCTTGCTGAATGTTTCTGGGCGCCAACCTGTGTTGAGCGGAAGAAGATGGAGACCCATCGTGCTCTCGGTGTAATGCTAATGGCGTGAACGCGTGTTCCCATTCCTCAACCTGAGCCCTGCATTATTTGTATAAAGCTCGCCCTCTATATTGAATATGCTTGTGTATCGACCAACACCTAGCATTTCATAATCTCCAACAAATGAAAATGACATCTGCAATGTTAGCTTTGGAAAGATGACAAGAGAAAAAAAAATAAGCAGATCCAACATTCAGAGTGGGATAAACCCTCCAATCTCCTACGGAGAGTGCCAAGCCCTGCCAACTCCCAAAGCTATAGTTCAGGATGAGATGAAGGAATGTATGATAGTTTCTGCTCCAATTGAGCATATCAGGCAAGTGCTATCAGTCACAAACCGCTTAAAGAGTAACACATATTGAACCGGTAGGAACTTGAGCACCATTCTCCAGCAGAAAAATTTCAGTTTTGAAGGAAGTGAAAGATTCCATAATAATTTCCAGAACCTACGATCATAGGGAAGAGGAGATGGAGAGTGTAGTAAGTAGTTCATCAGAAAGAACATGATAACCAGTTTTAACAGAGTAATCTCCATTCACTGAGTGATTCCATATTAGTCTGTCAAGCATCAGATGATGGGGAAGTGGAATAGAGAGAATTAAAACGATTGCCTCAATGGTAAATAAACTTTCCAGCAATTGTACTTTCCAAGAATGGTAAAGAGGGCAGATAATTTCAGCAACTAAGACCGGGTACCAAAGAATCTCGGGTAAAAGTATAGGGGAAGAAGGCGGGTTGGAAGTAAGCCACTTATCGGATATAGCTTTGATAGAAGTCCCGTCATCGATTCGCCACCTCATACCACGAGTTCACGGGCAAACCTAAGTATTTGGCAGGTTGGTGGGAAGAAATGTTGGATATGCACCGGCAAACCTAAATATTTGTCATGCAAGGTAGTCTCAGCTACACCTAGATAGGTCACTAAGGCAGCTCGCTCCTGGTCACTAACATTGGAGCCCACACGCATTGAAGATTTTAATAAATTAACCTTTTGACTGCTGACCTGTTTAAAGCTCTCAAGCAATGACAAGAGGGCAATACATTCGAGAATGAAAGCTTGCAGAAATAAATACGTATCATCAGCGAAAAGTAAATGTGAAGTTAAAGGAGCATGACGATGAACACGTATTCCATGTAGATTGGCAGCATTGATAATTGGTCTTTTATTCTTAGGTATCTTCAGAACCATTTGAGTATAACTGAGCCCTAAATCCGTGTATTATAATATAGGGTTACTTCATTGTAATTGAAAGCAGTTTTGGAATCTTAATTGTGGGAAGTTAGGTGAAATCGTGGCAAAAGGGTGCAAATGTAGGGTGAAATTGACATATATTGTTCATGGCCCGGAATTTTTGTCTATGATTCGAGTTCGCGGGGCAAAGGAAGATGTTCACGGACGTGAACCCCTATGAAAGAGATGAGAAGAAGCAGAAGGTCTCGCGTTCAACCTCGCGGGCGTGAAGGTGATTGCTACACATGAATTCATGCCCGCAATAATTGATCACTGGCTCGCTCGGACTACACCGCAAATTAACCCACCTAGAGCCCAAGTTTTTAAACTCTAGCCGGTGTAGTATAAAGAAAGTATTTAAGTTGTCAAACCCGGGCCGGTCCATGTACCCCTACTTCAATCGCTTAGGTTGTTATCTAGCAAATGGTTTTGGGTTTAAAACTAAGAAAACTACAAAATAAACAAATAAGTAAAGTAAAGCAAGGTTGTCCCAATGTGAGAAGAATTCACCCGACTATTGCTACCCCTAGCTACATATCAAGATCGACCAAATCGAATGCAAATGTGTGGAGGTGTGTTCATACACCGTAGAAGGGACAACAAGTGAAGGAAACCTTACTCTCTTAATCAATCGGTTAAGAAAAACAATTAAGCTAGAAACATTATCTCTCTCTATCAATGGATTAAGGATTGTTACAATAAACTAGGAAGTCTAGTTCTCTTAACCTTTCGTCTAAGGATTGCAACAATGAGCTAGGAGTCCTAGCTTTCTTAACCGATATAACTAAGGGTTGCAAGAACCAATCTCTCGAAACTTAATCCGGACGGCAAAGTAACACCTAAGGTAAAGTGCTAAATCGAAGTTTGAGGTTTGCCCTAATTTTCCCTAGGTAGGTGACTC